AGGAGAAGTGCCCCGAGCGAAGCCCTAATTTCTCCCACGGTCTTGTGGATCAAATTTTGATTTAAACATTCAAGTTAAGTTACCTTAACCAAGTCCCTTTTTTGCCTGGACGACCGGGCTATGTCATTCAACGTTTCAGCTCTTCGTTCACCGACCTGTCTCACCCAAGTCTTTCCAATTAGTTAGGCTGCCAATCACCTTACTGTTTCCCTGTATCTGAACTGCTGGCCGGTGAAATCGATTGAAATAAACCCCCTATCAACCTCGAGAGATCTGTTCCATCTTTCTGCTTTCTTGAATCGGGCAATAGCTAATGCTTTCTCGATCGATGTATGTTGTGTTTCCGAAAGACGGAACCTCAGTTCGGTCATAAACATCTAACAGCTGGGAACAAACCCAGATTTCATGCACTTTACTCTTCAGCTGCCCAGTGGTCCTGATGCAGTGGCTCGCGCTATCAGTGGCTTGGAAGTTGTGCTTAGCCCCAGGGCCGAGTGCAGTACTGGACTCGATTCCAGTTGGGGCCGTTCACTTGACTAGTTTAATCAAGATCAATGCATCTCGACACGGTGAACGGTGTTTGTTTGCTGTGCCAGGGTACGTACTGGTAGACGGCAGCTCTACTTCTGAGATATACAGCTTTTACCGTGGTTTTTCACGGTAGCACAGATATCGTGATTATGCAGACGATATGAGTGCCCAGATCGTTCGTTTAAGTCCTGAAGAAGCCCATCTTGGTGGCCCGTTTGAGGTTGGCGCCCACCGCACACATAATGGGGAGCAAATTCTTTATTTGTGCGCTGAAAATCATTTGTTCATAACCAACACAAACTTTCAGCATAAGCAATCACACCGTGCCGCCGGAAGGTCGCCAACTACAATGTATCCTTGGGCTCATTTGAACGATCTGACACTATAGGGGTGTACAGTTCTAATACTTGTCGTTGTTTTTTTGGAATTCACCACTTTCCTCGGATCACGTCATTGTGCGGGCACATCGTTCAGTTCACCATCTGTAAACTGTCTCTTTAGCTCAAAGTATCGAGTTGAGTCGGCTGAGAAGTTTGTAGAACTTTGAGGCTACGGTGGATGCAATGGTGCTTTGGATGATGGCTAGTAAAAGGTGAAAAAGTCATTCTCGTATCTTCCGTCATTCTCGTCCTTCAGAAGCCATCGCTCACCCCGATGAACGTGGATCTGGTTATGATGGACAGCTCCCGCTGGTGCCGGGAAAACTGTACCAGCAACAAACGACCATGATGTTCCTCGTAGAACCCTTCTAACACCGAATGATCGATAAACTAAGGACAGAGCGTCGGTGAGTCTCAAAAATCTGATAAGTGGAGACGCTTTCACAAGGGGAAGCAGTCGCAGCTAATCCGATAGGCGGGTGTAATGAGGGCGGATGTAAGTGAAGCGGTTCCCGAAAAAGAACAGGACCTTAGTCCATTCACAGAATCTTCTTGAACTATGTGCTGAACACTTTGAACAACGGTTCGGCTGCCCCCATCAACTCACCCTTTGAAAGAACCAAATGAACCTGGGTGGAACGCCGACATCAGTCCGTTATTGAAAACGGAAGTCTAGTGCGCAATTTCATCGTTTCAGCACAACAAAGCACCTGGTTGAAACGGCTTGCATTCTGTGCTCTTCAAAGAAGTTTGCAAGCCCACCATGACTAACCGAGAGACGCTACTCCAAAGCATCTGAAATAAAGACAGTGCCGTCAGGATGGATCGCCTCAACGGTTATTCCCACATTCGAAAAGGTTTCAAGAACATCGTTCTAGTGGCCAGAGCCTTTTAGGTGCTTCTTGGTATCATTCTACGGAAGTTGATCCAGCATCACGAGAGCTGGATCCGTGAGACTCAAGCTGGGTTTCGCCCTGGCCTTAGTTGAACCCATCATTTCTTCAGTCCCGGAGAGATGTTGGAACAGCGACAATCCTTCCGACAACCAACAGTAATCGTCCTCCTTGATCACAGATTTCATTTGACTCCGTTGGTCGTCATAATTCTTGGTACTGTCCACAGATGAAGAGTTTGCCTTACGAATTCTTGTCCCTTATGAAGGTCCAATTGTCTAGGACAAGTTCCTTCCTGAGTTCATCATATCCAGCGGTGCCAGGCCTGTCACATTTCTCCTTAAATCCCTGGAGCAGACATTGAGTGGTTGTTTGACATGTAAAGTACATGTTCGGATCATCGTAATCGTTCCTCTACATCGCTTCTTCCGAGACACAGTCGAACCTACTTCGGTATTGCCTATCAGATTTTCCCATCAGATCTGAGTAGTGCTTTGGAGTCAGCCAAACACCAAATTTATCCTCTTATCCATGGCACATACTGGCCATATTTCCTATCCACAAACCCATATGAGTCGTACAGCCACCTGGACCTCGCCGATCCGAACATTGGTTTCATCTTTTGCCTATTAAAACTGGTAATGCTACTGAGGTCCCGACCTAAATCTGATACCATGTCGTGGTGGTTAGGTTTCTGTGCTACAATGATGCTGTGGGTTATACTGACTGGAACGCAGTTCCTAAAGGTTCAAGCATGCCAGGAAGGCCAACGGGGAGTAGTCCGACGAAGAACAGCAGGTCCCAGTACAATGAGTACTCGTATTACGAGGCTGTCTGGAGGTAAAGTCGTAATTTCCTCTGCGATAGGAGTGTGAAGGCAGTAGCGTGTTTCCTCCAGGCGACCAGGGTTCCATATTTATGAAAGCAGCGATGCTGCCTTCCCCCGAGGAAGGACGGGTTAGAAAAGGTCGGCCCTATAAATCGCACACTCCGGTCGCCCAACGGCTGAGCGTGACCGCTGGCGCATTATACAATACGATCGAAATAATTTTAAAACCAAAGAGCCCGGTGCTGCTCAAAAGGCACCTGCTGTGTGCAGCCGCATCAGGAGTGAATCAGTGGTACCTTAATATCTGCGTCCTCGGACCAGATCTGCTCTCTGTGGCCAAGTAAGTCGGACTCTTGAGTCACTGGCTAAGAGAAAGGTCCCCAAGAAAACCCTTACAACCACTCTCTCGCGGTCCAGACCTTTGAGTTAAAGGCTAGGGTAAGGGTCCCCGAACAAAACCCTACATTCTCCCACTGCCTTGTGGGTCAGCCTTTTGTGTCAAATGCTCAAGGTGGGGTACATCGACTAAACCCCCTTCTTCGACCTGGGCAACCGGGGAGTATCATTTGCCCTTGTGGCTCTTCGCTCACCTGCCTTCCCCCTCATTCCCTCACAACCCATCGTACTGTTTCTGTGGTGGGCACATTTATCTGCTACATCTTTTGACTCACTTGCTAGCAACGGTTTAAGGTTTTTATCCCACGCAGTCTTCCAGTGACATCCTATGTTTTTCTGATTTACAAGGGTATTTACCAGTGTTTCGGCGCCTTTGCATACTGTGAAGTGTGAGCAAACTCGACCTCAGTGGCTTTACACGTTCAAAGCATGGAAAATTGCGTCGTATTACCGTTTTTGTTGGAAAGTTGGTGTCTAGATTCGATTGCAGTTCACTTTGTTTTGAAGATTGGTTTCGAAGCAAACCAGCTGATTTGCTGTCAGAATTGTTTGGTCTGCTGCTCTGTGAATGGGTTGCTCATCCACCCGGACGCATCGTCGCACTCGGACCCAATTATTTCGACTGCACCTTGAGGCAGGTTGCGATAGTTAGTTACCTAATGCAAGACCCTGAATTTTTTTGGCATTGGTTATGCACCGGTGCTCTTAGTCATGTCCTCAAATCCGGTTTGTGCGACGGACAACTTAGCCTAATTAGCCGACCCGGGGGATTCACCTTCAGTTCGGGGGCGAGGTGGCCAAGTGGTTAGATTCACCTTCAGTTCGGGGGCGAGGTGGCCCAAGTGGTTAGAGTGCAATTTACTGACCGGAAGATCCGTGGTTCGAATCCGACCTCCGCCACTCGACTTCCCCTGTCTAGGCTTGGGCGACCTGGCAGTATCCCAGCCCTCGTGCTTCCTTCGGGTGGCATGGCAGCTAGGCACCGGAAGGGTGCTACAGCTGAACGCTTTCTTTCTTTTTCTTTCGTATTGTGTACCGCTCCGACCACGAGCACAGTTTCTCCTTCCTTCCAGGCCTTCCATGTTTAACAGACGAATGGCTTCGGTGAACTAATTTACTTATATGCAACCACAGTAGTGCAGTGTAAAACTAACTAAACGCGTGAAAAGTAACGAGATCGCAGCAGTTAGGGATTAGTTTCACAACTAACCAACTGGCCTCGATCTCTCGTTTCCTAGAGGCCCCATACATCTGAAGTGTACTGAAATTTTGCAAGAATCGTAACACAGTCCGTTTTGTACCCTAAAACGGGGTCTACGTAAACGAAACTCAGCTCAGTCAGGGAATGCACAAAATTGTCTGACGGCGTTTGTGCACGTGTTAACCCCAATGATCATCATGCGAGATCCAAGAGTTTCCAATGCGTACAACGGTTGACCTCTACCAGATGTAGCTGTGGTGCATGACGAAAGTCAATGGGTCACTCTTTTACTTGTGTACGAACATACCACGAGTTAGGAGAACTAGACGCGTGGCAATCTCATACTCGGTGCTTCGGCTTATTCTGTGAAGTGGCGACTAGTGCTACCTGTCAACCAGAGTTCCCAGTATGGTTGGGACCGGGAACTGTATGCGTACCCAATTCGGTATAACCACCACCGCAAAAACATGAGCAGAAAAGCCACATCTCAACGGGCGATATTTGGCAGCAGTTTCTTACAATTGTCCCTGTTCGTCTCAAAAATGCGCTTTCTGGCGATCCACAGGCTTCAAGAGAACAGAGAAATTTGAAGTGGCTTGTAGCGTGTTTATGGTAGGACACTACCGATAAGCTGGGCGTATCTTTACGCGTTCAACCTTGGGACGTAGCGTCAAACTCGTGAGATCCTTGCCCACTCTAGGTGTTTACATACTATTGATATTGGCATTTTATACTGAATCCTTATTACCATTATTTTTGCTACCATCCAGGTAAAATTGCCCCATGGACCGGTCGATTTTACTCCCTGCTTGATCCAACCTATGCCAAGAACCACATACCCATAATAGCTTCAGTGTCAGAACACCAGCCAACCGCATGGAGTTGCTATTACTTCGACTTGCAGCTGTTAGCGGTCATGTTTCCAGGTGAGTTATTTCATCCAGTCTGTGGATGTAACTTTTCCATTGTAGTTGGCCTCTATTACCTTTTCAAGAAGCCGACCAACGAGGGCATCTTCATTATCACTTACGGTATCACCAGCTTGTACTTTTCGGTAAGTTGTTAACTGCTGTAATCCCACTATGTATATCATCGTCGAGAGCGTAACATCAAAGTTCAACACTGACACTTCGCTGCCGTACAAACCTGATTTATTCGAAAGCCTCATGGTGAAGGAAAGAATAAAGGTGAACGGGGAAGGGAGGTAGTACCAGCTTACTACAATCATTCCCAGGTGCCCGCACCTCATTCAGAAACTGACAACACGAACGCCATTAACATCGATTGCCTGTCGTATCTTGTATTGTCTCCAGTCAAGTGCAACGGAGATCTCGCGGCCCCCATTCCGAAAGGCGAGTAGCACCTAAAACACCTAAACGTTTCGTAATCTCCTTCGTACTCCTCTGCCAGCTCGAGGGTTGGTCACCTCTGCTTCCGCCACTCTGAATTGGGCACGGAAGGCAGCACTCTCTTCGGCAAACGATGTTTTGGCAGCTTCTGGTATTGGACACATTCTTCAATGGAAGTTTCTGTTGCACAACTGAAAACTCGCTTTCTAGTTGCCTTGTTGCGACACCAACCTACACGAGCTTTGGTCCTTAAACAACAATTGTCAAACACCGGAAGATGTCTCCTTCCAGCTGCTCGAACAGGCCAAGTCTCACAGTCATACAACAAAACAGCCCGCACTGTAGCCTGATGCACACTGCCCTCGAGATTCAGGAAAATACCGCCGGTTTGACGCCATAGGTGTCTCAAATTAGCACACGTGACCCGAGCCTCCCAGGTTCGTGTAGTGACCTCATCTGTCACACTGCAAGATACGTAAAACTCCACAACTTCAAGTGTCTCCCTGGATTATAAGGATGTGTTTAGTGACTTCATGTCCAGGAGCATGACCTTACTCTTTGTGGGTGCAAAGTGCATACCAAAGGACGGGATGACTTTGGTCAGTTCATCCAAGACAACTGCGCCTTCTCCTCTTCCAAAACGACAACGATGTCGTCTACATATTCCAGATCGATAAGGTGTTGGTTTTGAAGACCTTCCAAAGTCGCACCACAGCTGGTTGATAGGAACCAAACTGTAACCTAGGCCCGCTTGATTTTCATTCGTATGTTAGATTGTTCAACGTCGCCAAACTTTATCCAGTGAAGCCTTGTTGATGGTCAATTTGTAATTACGCTCAGCGAAGTCATTGCAAAACCACGCGGATCACGTGTCCGTTATTTCTACGGTTCTTTTAGGCTTTTTAGCTGCAGATCTAGCCTATCTTAGCCAGCTAGACCATTTCTTGGGGGAAGATGTTCTTGCTCCGCACGTCTTTCCGACATTTTATGGAAATTCGGAACAAGCCACGTTCACAGCACCACTGACCTCTTGGTGCACAGATCACCTCTAACCTTCGCACAACTTTAATTTGGGGACCCATCATCCGGAGCCCATGAGTTGACTCCATCAATCCACTCTACCGGATGTGTTCTCCCACATCTGCCGTGGAGCATCACTAATGATTCGGATTCTCGGTCACCTCTTTCTTATTTTACCCGCCAGCCAGACTGGTGTATCAAACTGCATTTGTCAACCGGAGCTGACACAGAGGTCAAGGCAGTTAGGTTCGTACTTCGGGTTCACTGCGGCATACCGGCCTGTCTACGTAGAAAAGTGGGGATTCCCAATAACTATGTAACAGCCATACACTTCTAGGTTTTTTGGCGTAGATCGACTTCATCTACACGAGGTTTCGGTTGGAAAATTCCCGAACACCCTCATACTACTAACTATCTATCAGTAGCTCAGAAGACGAATGAACCTTCCAATTGAGGGGTCGTCAGTCAACACGCTTGACCACGTGATAAATTGTCCATGATTGAAGGATGAGAGACTTTATGTCCCGCCTCAATGCGAGTTAGTCAGCTACTGATCAGCCACTCGTAACCGAACGGTTCAGTCTTCAACTGCTAGCCGCGATGTCACCGGATCGAATTCGCCTAGATATTCGTGAGATGCACACTAATGACGATTCACAATTCACAGTGCTTCTCAACTTATCGGCATGGATTAACTCCACTTATAGGATAAAACCTCGAATTCATCCTCATACTACTGACAAAGTGATGTAATTTATACCTCTTTGAAATTGGGTGGAAAGAAGTAGTCACCAGCGCATGCACCAGGCCTCCTTGAAGTGAATTACTCATCTTCCCTGTGTTTGGGTGGCTATACTTGAAATATCGATCTCGGTTTCATTCTGAAGGGTGTGTCTAAAACAGCTGCACTGGATCTGAAGGTGCACGGAAGCTCGATTGAGTCCTTCATTTATGAAGTTCAGTCAGTTGGAAAACGCTTAGAACCGACTGAGAAGTCAACAGTTTCAGAAAAGTTTGGGAAACAGTCGATTGATTTATTGCCGGACAACGTTCGCTTTTGACAAGAGTTGATCGTAGACTCACCGACGGTGGTACGTACGTTAGGCGTAGTGCATTTAATACATATTGAGAATGTTGAAGTCTCAGGACGGGGACTGCGATTCACACCACAGCGGCCGATGGCCGAGGTGGTGGATAGACTCGAGGGTGTGGAACCGTCGGGCGTATGGAGGGCGCTCTTAGATAAGCCGAGTTGACAAGTCATTGCGTGGCTGTCAATAAACATAGAAGGTAGTGTAGAAATCCGAACCGGACCAAATTTCACAGAATCCCTCTCCATTACACAACCATCGTGACACTATCTCATCCATGGCGTTCAAGGGGCCCCTAAGCTGGACCCAAATCCATCAAGTGTTGGTCTCAACACTTGATGACTTACGCTAGTAAACGGAATTTCTTAGCCGACACCTAACACCGATTTAGCCGGACTAACCTGATTGGCCTTAAGCCTCGACCGACTTCTTAGTCTAGTCACTTGACGTGACGATGATTTTGTGTCAAAAGTGAAACGTCATCCAGTAATGAGCCTATCGATCGTCCCCCGCACTTGTCCGAAAAGAGGCAAACAGAACCAGGGACTGTGTCTACAAAATTAAGTGTACTGACTGCACCAAGGTCTATATGGGACAGACGGCCAGGGATCTACACATCAGAGTCGGAGAGCATAGTAGGAAAACAAACAGGTCGCCGAGAAACGCAGTTGAATATCAACCGTTACTGAAAGACTTAGCAGTTGCGGAACACGCACTGGACATGGGACACAAAATAGACTTGGAAAATGTTGAGGTTTTGAGGCGGAGACTACGGTCCGCGTCACACAGACTGATCGCCGAGGCGGTAGAAATCGCCAAGCATCCCAGCGTTAACAAAATGGAAGGCGTGGACCTGGCTAGCGTGTGGAGAATGGTCTTTGGTCACTCGAGCTGACACGTTTTGGTGTGCGGTCATCAGAAGTAAGAGTGGTCATCTGAAATCCACTTGACCTCAACCCCCCTCAAACTAAATTGTCGGAACACTCACAACCCCACAAAGACCAAGGAAAACCTAACAGTGGTACCCGAGGTGAATCATCAAGTTAGGCAATCTGAGGTAGAAGATTCAGGAAGGAAAAGCGATCGGGAACTAATTAGGAACTCCTTCAACCCATCAATTCAAGATTTTGGCACCCACACTAGCCAACAAGAGCCGTTAATTGACACTCAACGCTGATCTAGTTTGTAGAGGACTTACTTATAACCTGGCCAATTTATTGCCTTTTTCACTTGGCCTGATGAGCTTCTGTGTGTCAAAAGCGAAACGTAGCCCAAATAAAAACTACCGATTGTTTACCAAGCTCTTCTGAAACAGGGCAATGAAGTATTTCCTGTCGAAGTTTGTTTCAAAATCTTTTGACAATTCTCTGTCGGTTTCGCCCTTCTTCTGGCTTCTCAGCTCAGCGCAGTATCTGAGTTTCCATCCGCATTCCATTGGCCTCCAAATTGTACGCAACGGACGAAATATGAGTGGTGTCTTCTGTTAGGAAAATGTACTTCATTATCTCGATTATCGCCCCAAATGAAGCATGGGGCAACCTTTGTATGGCTCGAAGGAGTAATACCATCAACGGGAGATTCAGTTCATCCCAAAGTTATCTACACATGATTGTATTTCGCCAGTTGCGTAGAACATACCCCTTCGTTTACCTGGCTAGCCCCAAAAATGTCGAAACCAGTTGTGGGCTATCGAACAGTTCCGTTGTTCCGTCTGAGGAATCGCGCAGGGATCCCCTGGAACTCGAAACGTGTCGTGTTCTTTTAGCCTACCACCCCTCGCTTGGAACCACACGTAGAAAGCCGTTGCGTTGTGACGTCGACAGCTCTCTCTGTCTAGCCTCAGCTGTCAAACTGCCGACACCCCTGCCGCGCTCATGGGATTTTTCTTCTCGTTCACCAAATCGCATGGTCCCCGTTGATGTCACTTGTTTTTTTTCCGAAGTACGGTTCTCACAGAGCGATTTTAAAAAGGTACTCACCTTATCCTGTTTCTCTACAGACGGTTCACAGTAGTAAATCTTGAGTGTCATCTGCGTCCATAATTGTGATCCCACTGGTCTTGAGATTCACAGTCTGCGAAGGATGATATTTCCATCCAGATTGGGAAGACCAGAGTAGCTTTTGTGATCCAGCGTCACCTGTGGCATAGGGTTTTCTGTCAAGGGTCAAGTTTACAATGCTGCGGTGCGCTCCATATTACTATATGGACCAGAAACCTGTCTGCTGCGCGCCGAGGACTTTCAGTGTTTGACCAGCGATGCTGAAGTACGTCGAATGGGATTCGGGAGAAATAACTCACGCTGCATAGGTTGCGCTGGCTTGGTCACGTATGCCACTCGATCGACTTCCTCGAAGGGCTCTTTTCGCACAACCACGTGAAGGGTGGAAGAAAGCCAGAGGCGGACAACAAAGTGTGAAAGCCTTTACCAGCAAACTCAGTTGCGCTGGTCATTGCCGTCTTCCCGGATGGGGATCCCTAGACGGGCCACATCACTGGTTAGAGACATGACCCAGTCGCGCCCTCGGCGCCGCCCATGCCTTCAATGCATAGCTCCCTTTCCATCCCCCCACTCAACAGTCCTGTATTCACGCACCAATTTATCCACTCCCGCTTCCAATACGCAGCCATTTACCCCACCTCCCCAAATCATCGTTGAACGAAACTGTGGCGGCTACAAGCACTGTACGACAAGTACGAGTTCATTACAGCTGACAATGATGATGATGAACTCAGCAAGTTAAAATCTGACGTTTGTTTTTCTGTCCTCTAATATCGGTCACATGAAGCGCACCGACAATTCCGTTATCGTTTATTCAGGCCCCACTTTTGTTAGCCCACAAACGAAGTGTATTGACCTTGATGGCCTGCTTTACTTTGTGTGTTTAGGGCGTGATGGTCCGATTGATTCTCGTCTTGGCACCGGTTATGTGCATCGTCGGTGCTATCGGGATATCGGGCATTCTCAAATCGTTTATCGTCAACTTGGAAGATTCTGACTCTACGAGCCAAACGAAGACCATGAAACACACGTCCTCCTCGGGTAGCGGTTTAACTTCTACCCACAAGATCAGCAAATCTCTTCAGGATACCTCCTATCCGTTCAAACACGAAGTGAGTTTACGTTTTTTTCGATTTGCCGAGTTTTGTTAGTTTGTGATCATCGCCTATGGTTTGTTCACTTATAAATCGTCCGAGTAGCCACGATTTCGTTCGGTCATCACGTAGGGAAAGAAACCGGAATACCTATGCGAACAATCGTTCGGAACAGAAATCAACGCTTTCTTCGGTAGATGGGGGTTGGGCATGCTTAGCACACGCCCCAGTCACCTCAATCTGGCAAGTTTAACCTGCCAACCTAGAGAAGCGGATTGATTACGAAGTATCCGCCCACGCACCACTTTCATTTTGGATTGGCTGCAGCCAGCTTGTTCTTGCTCTGCTCTGGAGACACCGGTAGTCGAACATTTCAAGACGCGCCTAGCTGGCAGAACTAGCTATCAAACGCGCTTCCGATCTGGGTGAAATATGCGTTCTGGGCCCTAGTGTACTCTGGCAGTATGACGTCTACCGAACCCCAAGACGAACAGCCAACCAGTTCGAAGGCAGTCGAACCCGTTGTGCTCGATCTCAGCAACATGGCATTACCCATGGTGTCACTTACGCGCGACATTAAGACAATGACCTTCCTCAGTAGAGCCTCCAGATCTCTGTTTTGCCGGAGAGGACAGATTGGTTCGCTTGCTGACACCTTGTGCTTCAGGTATTCTTGGCAGTTTTTTTGCAACACTACTGATGAAGGGATGCGGAAAGCAATCGAATACCTCCTTTTTACACAAATTTTTGGAAACTCAGCATTTTCAATCACATTGCTGGACTTTTGTGGACGTCTTCTAAACAGTTGGTGTCAGTGATCGAACACACTTGAACTGCTCACCAATCTCCAAATCAACTGTCCTCTGGCTACGGGGACGGCGCTTTGGTCCAAGACCATTCACAGGTTTCATCACTATTATCCGCCGTGGTATTACTTGCTTATCGTTCATAGTAATCCGTTCTTCTCTCAATAACCGTCAGTAGCCTTCCTCTCAAGACAAATACCACACCTGTTCATCTTTAGGGCGAGATGGCTCAACTAGTTAGAGTGCGAATTTACTAACCGAAAGATCCGTGGTCCGGCTTAAGCAACGTGGCAGTATCCAAGCCCTCGTGCTTCCTTCGGGTAGCTTGGCAGCTGGGCACCGGAAGGGTGTTACAGCTGAGCGATGAACGTCTCAGAGTACGGGTTAACAAGGCCTTAACTCTGTATGTACGTAGTTATTTTATCAAACTACAGTCCACGTACGGGTTTAGTACATAACCACTTGTTTCTGACGTGAACGGATGACATGTCTTCGCTGGGGTACCAAGTTCATCTGCACTGACGTATATTCAGGCCCGGACCCTATTGTCAACAGTCTGAAACCATTCGGTACAATGGCTAGGTGCTTGGTTATCCATTGCGAAAGCAGGAAATTCATTGACCTGCCATATTCGAAAGACGGTCTCATCGTGCTAGTTAATAGTTTGTGTACTTTTCACCTTGTCCCGCTCAATGTGGTGTCCGGAACACATGGCAGACGGGCAGTGTGTACCAATGAATTGATTTTCTCGATTCTATGTCTCCTCGTCTTGGATATCAACTGGTCTAACTGATGTTTTATCTCATTATGGCGTTAAAGAATAGAGCTGTCCACCCGAACGAGTAGTCTAGGATGGCGAAAAGGTGGATTGCACAAGATTCATCTGTGCTCATCTAGGCTGTTCATCGACGTAGCCGGGTCGAAACTCTCTCGACAAAGCCCATTCTCGATTTCGGCGTATCCGAAGGCAGACGAATCGATTATTGCGGTCACTGATGTGTTGTCAATGGTCCTACCTCGGATTAGTACGTCTCATCTTCCCATACCATGTGTGCTTCTTCTTTCCTTAGACTTTTATCGACTTTAGGCCCCGTAATTTCACGTTTTCTTTGATGAAAAAATCTGGTTCCTTCATAAATGCTACATGATCCCCACTATCTACACTTCCTGTGTTAGTTCTCTCCTCGACTATTCCCCTCCCCCCAAACACACGCTGAGTTGAAATCCCCCCCCCCCCTAATTGGAAAAATCATTGTGCTCTTCACCTGCAGATTGCCACATTCATGGTATTCCTCGTGGCCGTGCTGTTGGTTCTCTTCAGTAAACATTGCATATGGGCCACTTCGAACTCCTACTCTCATCCTTCGATCGTGCTCGAGACAACTGGACATCATGGGGAACGTTTTATCCTGGATGACTACCGAGCAGCCTACTATTGGCTCCGTCAGAACACCAAACCGGTATGTGCCAAGGTTGAGTTTCTTTTAGCGTATCTTGGCAAGTTGGTCGATCCGTATGATATGGCTTAATCCTTACATGTGTTTTCTCACTATGATCAAGTGATCTGTAGCGCAGTTTTGCCTAACATTGTCCGGACTCTCAAATAACCTGTTTATGTGTTTCCGGCTTTGGTTGATCGATTAATGATTATTCATCTTTGATTGCTATCACTTCACATCTTCCCTGACTTGCCTCCGACCAAACCCCGACAGTTTGAGGATTGATGTTTTTTTCAGGATGTGCTTCTTGGTTTGAACCCAACCTCTGCATTTCGACTGCTCTCGTCAAGGCTTGGACAACCGGACAGTAGCGCGGCCCCCATGCTTCTTTCGGATGGCGTGGAAGCTAGGCACTGAGTAGGATGGCGGTCAAATTACGTTCACCCGTTCACACGTGAAAATTCAGATGCGTCCACCAACGTGCGTTGGTGGAGTAGTGGTTACACGCTCGCTTCGCATGTCAGATGTCCGGGGTTCAAATCCCGGTACAGTCAGTGCATGTGCACTGCTGATAAGCTTTAATAAGAGCGAAACTCGAGTCCATTGCTTCCCCTCTTTGGTGTGGGCTCGCCAGAATAATTACACCAGGACAGTAGGACGACCGTTCAAACGGGAGTGGTGCGAAGGTGAACCAAATACATATCCCAGAGTTGAAGCCAAAGCAGTTACTCAGTGGGTTTCAAGCTACTGTGACGCTACCTGGCTGGGAAATCCTGACAGCTTGGGCTTCTGGGTGACAGTTCTGGATCGCAATTGTTACTGACAACATCGCTCTTCCATGCCAATCGCTGCCATTTTTCCACACAGTTGTCTTCAAACTTATTTGCAAGGAAGTAGAAGCGTTGGACTGCGAACTGCTTCGACAAGCTTGCTCAGGAGATCTTGGATAATTAGCTGGTTTTGCAGCACTGATAGTGTTTTATATCACAGAATGCAGGAATGGGATATATCTTAGGCGTTTCGTACGTTTCCCGTTGCACCCGAGCGCGAGATGACTCATTTGGTTAGAGCGCAAATTTACAGATCGGAAGGTCCTTGGTTCGAACCCGACCTCTGCATCTTGACTTCTCCTGTCTAGGCTTGAGCAACCTGGAGTATCCAAGCCCTCGGCTTCCCTCGGGTGGCATGGCAGCTAGCCACCGAAAGGGCATCACAGCTGAACAGTGTGTGTGCACCTGAGATTGACCTATTATGAAAAGATCACAAATACACGTTTTTCTCTGGAATCCTTATCGGCGCGCGTCCCTAAGGGGATATAAGCCCGTATATTTTCTAATGATTACCTTTCAGCTATCATCAAGACGCCGCGCGACAGCTTGGGGCGTTGACCAGAAGGTCCGGCATCACAACTGCTTCTGTCTAGGCTTGGACAATCTGATCCTAACTCAGCCCTCATGATTCCTAGGGGGGGGGCGTAGCACCCAGGCGCCCAAATGGTGTTACAACTGAATGATTGATATTTATTATTAGCGACTCTAGGATGGTCGGGTAGTTCTTTCGATGATGAGGAATCTTATGGATTTCTAGCGTCGGGCACTGGGGTTTTTCGTGTGAAGTGTCCTCTATCTGAGGGAGCAACACTCTTTGAGGTCCTAAGACAATAAACTGGTCTTAGAAAATCCTGCACACCTCACCGATTAGCTGTAGACTCATTTCTGAACCCGATTTGGAGACTTCACGTCTTTCTACCGGGAATTTAAGTTTCTCCTATGAGGATGTGCGTTCCAGTTTTCATTGGTGAAGGACAGTTGTATCCTTTCTCCAACCAAACAAATTGACCTGAAATCTTCGGCAAAGATGTAGTGGGATCTCGGAAAACTCAGTCACGGGAGTGCGTTGTTCTTAATCGGACTAGTCGGATTGACGCAACGGCATCGGATGGTTTCGACTTCTTGATCTACGCTCCTGTGGATTAGTCTGCACAGCTTTTGTTTTACTCGTGCAAGTTGGTTCCAAGTTGTCTTAACTAAAATCATCTTGGGGGGTGGGTGGGATGGACCAAGTGGTTAGAGCGCGTGGTTCGAAACCGACCTCCGTCTACTCGACTTCCCCTGTCTAGGCTTGGGCAACCTGGCAGTATCCCAGCCCTCGTGCTCCTTTTGGGTGGCATGGCAGCTAGGCACCGAAAGGGTGCTACAGCTGAACGATTTGTTTTCGCCAACTCCAGGCTCATGAGCTGATAATTGTCTGTTCCTCCGCAACTATTACTAAGTGTTTCGATGTAATCTCATAGCTACTCGTCAGTGCTCAAACGGTCGTCTGCATTGGCCAACAGCGGATTCAACTATTTTCTTGACGGAACACACTACTCACAAAGTTGCTGAAAACTCTGACAGCACACGACCAGTTTGCAAATGAGTGCATTTCACCAAGTTCAACTATTCTTGGATTCGCACTTTTTGTTTCCAAATCCGAACCCTGTCAGTGTCCAGAGCTACACGTTACTTCACGGTTTCTAGACGTTTTCGTTCGGCAAGCTAATACCACTACTTTGTGGCTGGAACCATCGCTTTGGGTTTTTGTGTTGGAATGTTGGAGATGTCATGCAGCGCTGATTAGGTCGAGGATTTCAAGCCCCACCTGTCCAAATAATACACCCTGTAAGTGTGTTGTCATTGTGGTACCCGTCTATTCTATGTCTCCAGGCTGCATACTTCGCTTGCATCTGGAAAGTAACTAATTAGTCAGAGATGAACCTTTTTTCCGTCCTCCTCAATACTTCAGGATGCCCGGGTCATGTCTTGGTGGGACTACGGCTATCAAATAACCGCCATAGCTAATCGTACGGTTCTCGTGGACAACAACACCTGGAACAATACTCATATCGGCCGAGTCGGTCAGGCAATGGCCTCGTCCGAGGAAGAATCCTATGAAATTATGCAGGAGCTAGATGTGGACTACGTCCTGGTGATTTTCGGTGGCCTGTTGGGCTACAGTTCAGATGGTGCGTGCCTCTGTTTTATGCTTTATGCCTTTTTCCCAACCTGTTTGCTTTCCGTGGTCCCCCCACTACTTACCACTACATTAGTAGTGTTTCTTTCTCTTGCCATGTTTTTCACGATCTTGTCTGCTTCTGTATGGGTTTGGACAACCTGGCAGCATCTCAGTCCCAGCGTCACCTTTGGGACGCACCCAAAGGTTTTTTAGCTGAACAGTCATGTTGCAGTAACCGTATTTTTTTCAGCTTAGTTATCCGTCTGAGCCTCCCAAGCTAGCGTTCACGTCAAAACAACCACCAAAGGTACACAAGGTATATTAACGCCCAAAACGCAGTCAGGACCAGTTGTACAGCGCTTCGCACATATAGCGTAGGCGGTTATAACTTTCTGGAATTTCTGACGCGTTCTGGATGCGCCATTGACGACCGGCATCTGGCCAATACTGGGTCGTGATTGGCTGTTGGGTCCAGACTTTCGACCAACCAGGTCTCGTCTTGAGGCCGGACCGGTAAGCGTCCCGAATTCTTGGCCAGTCTTGCGTGGGATGGACTTCTCGGCCGTAGCGGCACCTGAGTGCGAGCGGTAGAGCGGGATCCATGTGGAATTCCGCCTGACACATGTCTTTTTGTTACTTTCGAGATGTCTTATGCCGAGATGGACCAAGTGGTTAGAGCGCGAATTTACTGACCGGAATGTCCGTCGTTCGAACCCGACCCCTGCCTGTCGACTTCCCTTGTCTAGGCTTGGGCAACCTGGCAGTATCCCAGCCCTCGTGCAACCTTCGGGTGGCGTGGCAGTTAGGCGCCGAAAGGGTGCTACTGCTGAACGATTTTTTTCTTATATCTTCTGGTAACACTGGAATTCATTCTGTCTGATGTGTGCCCTGCTGTTACTCTTGAATGCAGTTTATATAAGATTTCTGATCCCTGCATTTTCCCACAGTGTTCTTGCTTTCCTCTTTTCCACAGACATCAATAAATTCATATGGATGATTCGCATTGCGGGCAGTACGGAGAAGGGACGCCACGTGTCGGAACATAACTATTATTCCGCTACCGGGGACCTCCGAATTGATAGCGAGGCCACGCCGACCTTGGCAAACTCACTGCTATACAAGTTGAGCTACTATCGTTTCTGGGAGACACAAGTGGATCGAAGTAAGTTTCTTGCAAACATAATTGCTATAAAATGATTCGCGTCGATCAATATTAAGAGCGAAGACAACAGTGTTTTCGCCTAGCTGGATTATTTCAGCCGTTTGTTACTGGCGCAGAAACCACGTGGTGTTTTTTGAAGAAGCTGTCGATCGACCTCTCCCCATTTTCAAGCAATTCTAAAGCTTTCTTCACGTGAACTAACGTGATCTGACCACATTGAACGGCATCAGGAGAAGTACTAGGGCGATAGATATCAGGGCAAAGACTATTCGCTTTCCATTCAAGATGGAAAGCCTAACGTCAGTAAGAGTTCGTGGATTTTTTTCACGGTGGCAATCTCTCGATTTGTGGGTAACTCAGCTCCAGTGATGCTCCGGGTAAGGACATCCTAAACACAGCTGTCTGAGCCAACCTCGGCGCACATGTCAATCCAATCCACGCCGTGGATCTGTTGGAGATCCTAGTTATTAACATGGATGTTGACTGTCTTGTGGAGTATATTCGCCAAACATCTCCGAGCCACTGGAGTCGACGGTTTCAGATTACCGTGCTCAGGGATCGTTTGCATGCCGCTTCCTCGTGTAAGCTATTGCAGTGAATGTAATAACCACAGAGGTGTTTGTTTGACGCCTGTTGTGGCAACGCTTCTGGCGTCACTGACTCTTCGTCGTCTTACAGTGGCACGGGAAACCGGTCAGCGCTGTTAACTACACTTACTCAATATCCGATCCCTATATTCACACACTTCTGGGCGGGTGAGAGTGTAAGGTGAGCTCTCCAAAAGCTTCCCTACAAAATTGGTGTCCTACAAGGATGTCCGCTCTCTCCATTTTTGTTCAACTTCGTCATCGATGAAATAATGAGGTGAACACTGGACGGTCTTCAAAACCCCGGTGTTTGGATTGTTGCTGATGAGAGCCTTGTCGGTTTGAAGTACACAGATAACATCGCCCTCGCCCTTGAAGACCAAAGCTAACCACTAGCTCTGTTGAATAAACTGACCACCATCTCTTGGCATGCGCCTTGCACCTTCAAAGTGTAAAGTCATGCTTCAGAACGTGTCATCTGCAAACATATCCCTTACAATTCAAAAAGAATCACTGAAGATTGAGGAAAACTTTATAAACCTCGGTAGTTGTATTAACTCTGACGGGATTGTGTCTGATAAAGTCAGTGCAAGAATCTCAAAGGCTCGAATCACGTTTGCTAATTTGCATCACTTGTGGCGTCAAAAAGGCATCTCACTAGGCCGTAAGGGTCGTTGTACCAGGCTGCAGTGAGGGCTGTGTTACTGCATGGGTGTGAGACATAGCCTCTGCGGACAGATTATGTGAGGCGTCTTCAGGTTTTCGACCACCGATGCCTCAGAAGCGTGGCTGGTTTTGGAAAACGTCAGTGTGCAAGTAACGAGGTGATTAGAAAACGGGTATTTGGTTGTGCTGCAGGCACCTCAATCCGAGAAAACATCCAGCATCATCGACTACGATGACTCGGTCATGTGCTACGAATGCCGAAACACCGTCTACCGAGACGAGTGTTGTTCTCCGTGCCTTTTTCAGGACGGCGCAAACCGCGAAGTGGGCAGCGCATGACTTGGCAGAAAGTCGTGAAAGAGATCACAAAGAGTTTGGGTGTTGGTGTTGTACGCCATACAGGATGGGTTGCCGTAACCCCGTCTGTGCTTGGCTGGAGACATTGCAAGAAATAGCGGCTAATCGATGTCAGCGGCACTAATTTGTCAGCTCCCGCCTCCAACGCGGAGCTATCTACCCCACCTTCCCAAATCATCAGTGAACGAAACCGTGGCAGCTACAACCACAACGGCAAGTACGCGGTTATTACAGCTGACACTGATGATGAGTGGCTTTCGTGCTGTCAGTTTCTTTCCAGATTGTCTGATTGAGCGGTTGGAGGTGTATGCACCTCAGAATGCTTGACATAGGCCAGCACTAGGTCCCATCCCTCACCCACTCTTTGAGTGAGTGCTGTCGGCGCTACTCGCCTTCCAGGATGGGGACCGCGTGATCCTCACTGTGCCTGGTTGGAGACACTACAAGATATGGCTGCCAATCGTTGTCAGTGGCGTTCTTGTTGTCAGTTTCTATCCAGACAGCCTGAGTGAGTGTCTGGAGGTGTAGGCACCTCGCAATGATTATGGTAAGCTGGCACTAAGTTACTTCCCCATCCACCTTTATTCTTTTCTTTACAATAAGGCTTTCAAATAAATCATGTTTGTACGGCAGTGAAGCATCGGTGTTGAACGCTGATGTCATGCTGTCGATGAGGATGATGATGACACAGACAATGTGTTGACACATTTGATGACATGCATTTTTAATAAACCCAAGGAACGAACTATTTCGACGGTTCTGCCCTTCCCACGGATACATGCAATGTGTTCTTGGCCGCGATATCATCAAGCCGCTCAAATGGTTCATTTCAATTTGGGCAAACTATGCACACTGTGAGCATTTAAGGACTGTCCCCTTGTGCGTCATGCAATGAAGGCGATGCGCTCACGAGGTTGAGAGAGCTCGGTGCTTAAGGCTTGAAATTACTGACTGGAAGGTCCGTGGTTCGAACCCGACCTCTGCCGCATCTCGACTTCCCCTGTCTAGGCTTGGGCAACCTGGCAGTATCCTAGCCCTCGTGCTTCCTTCGGGTGGCATGGCAGTTAGGCATTGAAAGGGTTCTACACCTGGATGATTTTTTGTGGCTGAAAGATGCAAAGCATTGAATAGCGCAGAGCTATTCTATGCTTACCAACTTTTCAAACTGGATTGGTGTAAAACTCAGATTTAACACTTCTCAGTTTCTTCAATATCTTTCGTCAGGGGAGAAAACATCCGACGTCATGTGGGACTTTTCTTTGGGTGAGGTTGCTGGAGGTGAGCAGCCAACACTCCATTGCCTGCGTAGTTGAAGGATGAGAGGTGCTATATCCTGTCTGAGTATTGCTCAATCACGCCACTGATCAGCCTCCCATAACTGAATGTACTACAGTTATGCTGGACTGAATACGAGAGTACCGAGCTCAGTTTCAGAAGTCTGTGAGTTGAACTGGTCCTAAAGGTTTGTGGTATGTCTAGGACAGTGGTTTCGGCATACTGGTGAATGAACTTCACGTGTGCTTGAGAGCAGGGAAAATTTGTCAAGTAGTACGCTTGACGTGAATGATCTGCCTACAATGGACCTTAGGAAATAGGGGATATCGCATAGAGATAAATTTTGCATGCCTCCTTCAACCCGATCACGGCGTTTGACAATGCGTCTATGCGATTGACCGGACTGTGGAGTGTCGACATTAGCTTCCAGATCACCCACACAAGGTTCCTGGTATGGCACCGTGATGAAACTTTACTGATGCGGTCTTGACTTGATGGTGTCAAGGTGTCTACTGTTTGGGAAGTCTAAATGCAGAGGTCGGATTCGAACCACGGACTTTCTGGTCAGTAAATTCGCTCTCTAACCACTGAGACTTACCGTTCAGCAAGGGTAGTGGACGAAACCTCGGGGGCAGGTAGGGGTTAGTGATGGGAATAGGTGCTTCTTAAAAGAAGCAGTTCACTTCTGAGATGAACTCTGTTGATTGTAGGTGCTAACACATTGCCGCTCATGCAGAGTTGGTGGATTACAGCTGCCGGTATCATGTACACAGGTAGGCTTAGGTTTGACCGCAACACTCATGCCAGAAATGTCACTATAACGCTCAAATAAGTGATATGACTTCACCTGACTATTACCAGATGGAATACTGCTTTTCTCCGCTAGCTGCCTATGTATTTGAGAAAATCGACCGAGTTAGAGTACATCAGTACTAGTCACCCAAATTGGCTCCACTGTGCCTCGTCTGTATAGTGAAAGCTGTTGTTGAAAATTGTCTAGCCTCATCTATATGTCTCGGTGAGATGGTATGGTGTGAGTTGTATTCTCTCGTGTGAAGGCCATCTTCCTATAACTCCGAACTTAGGTACCTCAGGGGGCTGCTACCTGTGACTTTCGATGTCATGCGATGAAATCGGCTGCAGGAACAACCATACTGTGAAACTCCAGGCTATCAAAATTCCCACCCACATTTGTCCTCGGTAGACAGTGATGGTGCCAGCACACGCATCAGCTGCTTTCAGATTGGATTAGCTGACATCTCCGTGTACAGCAACCGCCGTTTGCTTCCTAGACTTGTCGACATCTGGTCACTAGATTGCTGAAAACAGATGTCGGCATTTTTATGGAAATTGTTCATTTTACCCGCTTCCGATCGTAAAATAAAGCCACATGTTTTTGCAGGAGCGGCTTCATACGACCGCTTATGTGGTAGTTTGGTTTGTATCCATAAAATCGATTTCCGCTATCCCTCAACTGTCCAGTGCAGTGGACCGAGAATTCCGAGTTTTTTCGGCATAATTCCAGTTCATGCGAGTCAAGTGATATGACTTCACCTGACTATTACCAGATGGAATACTGCTTTTCTCCGCTAGCTGCCTATGTATTTGAGAAAATCGACCGAGTTAGAGTACATCAGTACTAGTCACCCAAATTGGCTCCACTGTGCCTCGTCTGTATAGTGAAAGCTGTTGTTGAAAATTGTCTAGCCTCATCTATATGTCTCGGTGAGATGGTATGGTGTGAGTTGTATTCTCTCGTGTGAAGGCCATCTTCCTATAACTCCGAACTTAGGTACCTCAGGGGGCTGCTACCTGTGACTTTCGATGTCATGCGATGAAATCGGCTGCAGGAACAACCATACTGTGAAACTCCAGGCTATCAAAATTCCCACCCACATTTGTCCTCGGTAGACAGTGATGGTGCCAGCACACGCATCAGCTGCTTTCAGATTGGATTAGCTGACATCTCCGTGTACAGCAACCGCCGTTTGCTTCCTAGACTTGTCGACATCTGGTCACTAGATTGCTGAAAACAGATGTCGGCATTTTTATGGAAATTGTTCATTTTACCCGCTTCCGATCGTAAAATAAAGCCACATGTTTTTGCAGGAGCGG